TTGACAGCGATTATGGGAGCGGGTTTGTGCGCTGAGAGACATTACACACTGTGCTGGGTGGTTAATGCTCCTTCGCCCCTTCCATTTCAGCCGAGCGGGAGGCTTTCATAAAGCCGCGGCAAGGCAGCAACAATGAAGAGAGAGTTTAGAGAAGATTTTGCAGACTGATACTCTGACAAGCAGAGGAGGGGTGAGTCACTGACAGACTGACAGTAAAATAAAGAGAGCGAGAGTATTGTACTTAACAGTATTTACTGGTGTTCCAGAGCCTTCCTTTGGCTGCAAAACCAACTGGAATGACACTCAGTGGAGCGCCAAGGCCCAACAGACGCCTTAAATTCAATCAAGCTGCAACAAATTGCAAAGACTCATTGATATCAATCCCCTTAATATTTCTTTCATCAAGATTTATGAATTATTCTCTTAGAAATCGAAGAAAACGTTAAAAAATTTCGCAATGTTGACAAAAGAGGGAATAAAAAATTCTTGTATCTGCCCCCTGATGCAGATCCTGATACAAAAATCCAACATGTTCTTTCTTGGATCACGCCCTCACCCCTCCACAAAATGTAATGGAAATCAGTCATGTAGTTTTACGTAAGCAAACAAACGCAGACCAAAACATAACTGCAGAGTTAGAAATGCTGGTCTGATTAAGTGGCTAAAAGCTTGTTATACTGTCCAGCATTCTAACAGTCAGTCAAAGGTCCATGTGTGACCATGAGCTTGTTTATATAAGTACTCCACTTTGTATTCATCTAATCATTAGGTGTTAGTAGTACTGCGTGGTGTTGCACTGCATATAGGTTCCCTTGTAATAGCGTCTAAAGAAAATCAATACACACATCATGGCCCTCTATTAAAACACACTCGCAGTGTGTGTGTGTGTGCAGGCAGCACCTAATCCCTCATAAATGGGAATGGTGATTATGCATTACTGACAAGAGTCATTGGTTACGCTAGACAAGACAAGTGTGTGTGTGTGTGTGTGTGTGTGTGTGTGTGT